AAGTCTACAGAATGTTTACATAAATGACACCACTGACAAGAGCAATGTCTTGACATAGGTTCCTCTTATCAATTATGTCATCTCCGTAAACTTTCTATAGCCTTCTTTGGATGTTGGACAGCCTGCGCCCCCTCCTTTGTCAACAACTCAATAAATAAAAAGTTATGTCCATGTGTACATTGTTTTGGTACATAGTTACAGAGTTAGTCTGGCTGAAAAAAGACAAAAGTCCATCCAGTTCAACCATTAAAAAAAAAGTCATATTCCTACACCCACAGTTGATCCAGAGGAAGGCAACCCCCCCCCCCCCCCCCCCAGCAAACCATGATCCAATTTGCTTCTGTAGGAGAAAAAATTCCTTCCTGATCCCTGAGAGGCAATCCCAGGATCAACTTTACCTATACATGTTCGTATCCAGTTATATTCTGTGTATCTAAGAAAGAATCCAGGCCTTTTTTAAAGCAATCCACTGAGCTGGCCAGAAGCAGCTACTGAGGGAGTCTATTCCACATTTTCACAGCTCTCACTGTGAAGAAACTTTTCTGTGTTTGGACATTAAATTTCTTTTCCTCCAGACATAAAGAGTGCCCCTTATCCTCTGTGTTGACCTCAGGGTGAATAACTCTACAACAGGGGCGGACTGACCATTTGGAAACTCGGGCATCGCCCGAGGCCCGGGGTCAGTAGGGGGCCCCATGAGATGCCCCTGGTACCTTTTTTATAGGCTTTTTTGAGTTTGGACAAGGACACAAGGGCCCCATGATCCCCTATTGCCCGGGGGCCCCATGAGTTGTCAGTCCGCCCCTGCTCTACACCGAGTTCACTGTATGAACCACTGATGTATTTATACTTGTTGATTATATCCCCCCTTAATCTCCTCTTCTCAAGAGAGAATAAATTCATTTCCTCTAATCTTTCCTCATAGCTGATCTCCTCCATGCCCTCCATGCCTCTTATCAGTTTGGTTGCCCTTCTCTGTACTTTCTCAAGTTCACCAATATTCTTTTTGTGAATTGGTGCCCAAAACTGAACTGCATATTCCAGATGAGGTCTTACTAATGATTTGTACAGGGGTAAAATGATATCTCTCTCTCTGGAGTCTATACCTCTCTTAATACAAGAGAGGATTTTGCTCCCTTTAGAAACCTCAGCTTGGCATTGCATGCCATTATTAAGCTTGTGATCTGCCAGAACTCCCAGATACTTCTCCACCATTGATTCCCCCAGTTGTACCCCCCTAGTATGTATGATGCATGCATATTCTTAGCCCCCAAGTGTATAACCTTACATTTATCAACATTAAACCTCATGTGCCACATAGTTTCCTAATTAAACAGTGCATTGAGGTCGGCTTGTATCAATGGGTACACTCATTGATATTTTCAAGCAGAGTTGAATCCTAACTTGTGTGTAATACTACCCCAAAAACCAAAAGGAATATGTGAATTCACTTCAACTCAGAACCCCACTCACCAAAACGAAAGACCTCATTTGTACACAGAAGGTCAAACAGTATTTAAAAGAGAGTAGTGTGAAAATAAAATTAAGTACTTAACACTCAGGCTTGTATCTTCCACCTCAAGAAATGGCTTGACTTACCCAGAGAGAGCAACCTCTTTATTAGGTGGCCAGAATGTACTTTAAAGGTGGTTAGAATGCACCTTTGTAGCAAATTTGTCTTCACTTACGCTGTTTTAGGTTTTTGCTTCTGTTGCTTCCCTTGCCTAATAAGGTAAATACCAATTGGTAGTCATTGGACCAATTGGTAGACATTGGACCAAGAGTTCCCAATAGGTAACATCCCCTAAAGCGAGGTCACCAGTCCAAACTTCACCAAGCATTGAAGAATAATGTACCACCTCATTAATAGTTTAATGTTAGATTCACTTGCATTAAGAGAGCAATGCGCCATAGTCTGACAAATTTATTTGCAATCCTCAAGGTCCAAGACTTCCCTTAGATTACTTTCTCACTTCATGATGTACTTGTGTTGAGGCTGTCTTAATGCATGGGCACCTCTGGGCAGTGCTCAGCGGCCCCAGTAGCATGGGGTCCCCCATGATAATCTTGCATTACATATAGATACTTTGCAGGGACAGTCACAGGCTTTTTACTAAGCTTGTCCTAGATAGCCTTGTCCCAGGCAGCAACCCATATTCTGAGCCATGGGGACAGCAGCAGTCTGTAGTAGGCTAGTTCTACAATCCAGAGTGAATTTTTCCCCCTGAACCTTCACCCGGCTGTTTCCAGCTTTCTGCATTGGTTTGGGAAGACTCCCTCAAGACAGAGCATTTTACTGCAGCTGCTTGTGCAGGCGGGGTGCCCCCCACTGGCCCTTCTCTCCTGTCCATCTAAGGTGCTTACATCACATGAGATGGAGAGGAAAGAGGGGACAGAGGGGATGGGAGCAGTACACATCCCACCCACACAGGTAGCAGTATTAAAATGCTCTGCCTCGACAATTCTTCCTGAACCAATGCAGAGCGCTGGAAACTATTGGGGGGGATTTATTTTTATTATTATACAGTATTTCTAAGCGACAATAGTTCGCTCAGAGCTGTACAGTACAAAGGGGGACAGAACAATAACAATACAATACAATGCAAAACATGAGGGGATCGAGGTCCCTGCTCTTTCAAACTTACAATCTAGGAGGGAGTGGATGGTGGCACAGGAGGAGAAAGCTGTGGGGAATGGAGTGGTAGGAAGAGTGGAGGAGGTTTCCCTGAAGAGGTGGGTTTTCAGGGTGCGCCTAAAGGAGAGGAGAGTAGGTGATAATCTGATGGGTTGGGGCAGGGAGTTCCAGAGGATGTGTGACAGCCTGGAGAAGTCCTGGAGGCGGGCATGGGAGGAGGAGACCAGGGAACTAGACAGAAGGAGGTCTTGTGAGGAGTGGAGTGTGCGTGTTGGGTGGTACTTGGATATTAGGTCAGTGGTGTAGTTCGGGGCAGTATGGTGGACAGCTTTGTACGTCAGTGTTAGGATTTTGAATTTGATCCGTTGTGCAATCGGAAGCCAGTGGAGGGATTGGCAGAGGGGGGTGGCGTAAACGGAGCGGTTGGAAAGGTGAATGAGTCTGGCAGCCGTATTCAGGATCGACTGAAGCGGGGATAGCCAGCGGCGAGGCAGGCCAGTAAGGAGGGAGTTGCAGTAATCGAGTCGTGATATGATGAGGGAGTGGATGAGCTGTTTAGTGGTTTCTCGGGTTAGGAACGTGCATATTTTGGCGATGTTGCGGAGGGGGAGTCTGCACGAGTTTGTTAAAGATTGGACTTGGGGCCGGAAGGATAGGTTGGAGTCCAGAATGACACCCAGTACTCTGGCCTGCGGGGCGGGTTTGATGGTGGCATTTTTGGATATGATGGAGAAGTCATTGGGGGGTGGTGTGAGGGCTGGGGGGAAGACAAGAAACTCAGTTTTGGAGAGGTTCAGTTTAAGGAAGTGGAGCGACATCCAGTCTGATATGTCGCTCAGTAGGCCAGATTGTGTGTTTAGCTCAATGACAGCCTGCCAGAACAGGGAAGATCTGTGCCAGCAGCTTCCCTGCACAGCTCTGATTGAGGAAACCATTTCTGTATTGTAGATTACTGCCCCCTCTACTGTGTCTTCCTGACCCCCTTACTGTGCCTTCCTGACCCACCCACACTGTGCCCTCCTGGCCCCCTGTACTGTGCCATGATAACCCCTGAACCTTAGTAATACACCTGCACTGTGTGTACTGTAGCTGATGTCTGAATCAGACTGTATGGTTAGTGCATAGCATACTGTACATTCTAAATTCTAAGCATTTTACAAATACTCATATGTATCTGTGCACAACACTGAGATATTTCCCCTGTTAAAATTAATTAGGAATTAAATTCAGGGGTCTGGAGAAATGAAGTAGCACACAATACAATTATCAAGACAGTAAAAATGAGGCTTTAGTTTGAAAATTAACAGAAAATTAGTTTTTTCCTTGTAATTCACATCTGGTGTTTTAATACTCAGTTGATGCATCCTTCCCTTGTCTAATGCATTTAGTGGTTAATAGCGAAGGCCATATGTATTCCATAAGGCACCATACTCTGCACTCTGGTATTTGTCAGAAGGATTACTGTTACACCCATTAGTGAACCTATAGTCCATAATAACTTAAAGAGAACCAGTCATTATAGAATATTTGTAATACCCGGAATATCTACTTTTGTTATAATACATCTATTGCCCTTTCAAAGCAGAAGTGTCAGACTGTTGCACCAGCCCTCTTGTCCCACTGTTTCACAAAAAAATCTGTTATACGGCAAAGGATTGTGGGAATTAAACCAGATTTTGTATTGACAGTAGTGATGAGCAAATTAGCCAAAATTTGGTTAAACCCACATTTTTTTTTTTAAATCAAAGATTCAAAAAGTTAGCTGAGTCGAATTTCAAATTGCACTGATTTGCCAAAGTGATCATAAATTTTGATTGTCACTTGTGGCCCTTTTGGGAGCTGATAAATAGGCTATTGTCACCCAAATTTCATGGACTCCCTCACTGCCCCCCCCCCCCCCCCCACTAAATGGTATTGTGCATGTTTTGCATTTAGTTATTTGTTATTTGAGGTTTCTTTGACAACAATTATGAGAAATGTCTGAAAACAGCACCTTGAAAAATATAAAGAGACATTTTGTTGGTGTATTTTTACTGCTATTTGATGTTTAATGTATAACAATAAGATACACCAAAAACACAGTAAAAAGAAAAAAAGAAAAAAAAACTATAATGAGTTGACTTCAATTTAAATCTCAGTACTATTTTGCATGAACGTGAATATTTTTTAAGAGAGTTTCAATATAAGTAACATGATTTATACAAATCCAAAATTGTTATACATTAAAATTTTGTTTTATTATATGTACTGTATATTGTAATATTTGCATGTTTTATTGCAATTGAATTTTTTTCTTAGGAATTACTGAATCATAGCACTACAGATATTAACCTGGAAGGTGACCTTGGGAACTCACCAATTATGACTGCTTGCTATAAGGACAATTCAGAGGCGCTTATAATGCTGGTAAGTGTATACATCATGTAACAGTCTACAAGTCTCTGTCACTGGAATACTGAGCACAGGATAGAATTGTAAGTGAATGTATTTCTTTCAGGTGCAAAAAATGTAATACAATGCATTGCAGACACATTATAATGGTAGTAAACTCTACCACTTGCAGTGTTATGCCAGTTACCACCACTACAGGTGCTCCCATCTTCACCCGGTCTTCCTTCTGGGTCCATGTTCTCAGGCCATTTGAATGGCTGAGCCACAAAGTTATCACTGTTGTGCATGGGCACCAGAGCCATCATCACAGTACAGCACTCTCTGCATTCAGGGTAGTCAGAGAAGGACAACATGGAAAAAAGAGTTCACTACACTTTAAACACAAAGCTGAACTCTATTTGCTGTAACTGTGTAGAGATAAGAAAAACATTGTATTTATTTCCCTGAAATTTCAGCAGATGTCAGGAGGTTAAAATGGTTTTTAGGGTTTAAGGGGCTTCTGAGGGTTACAGAAATAAGTATACTCTATATTTCCCAATGAGATGAGCAACACACATGACATTACAATTTCACAAATTAGTAAATGTTACTGATTTGCTTTGACCTCACATTTTTCTCCTTTGCACAACATTCCCAACATGGAAAATGGCATTATTCAATAAAGAGCTCTTATTCATGAAAGAAAAAAATGTTTTGTTTCTAGCAAGGGCTTATGCTAACTATACCATAAAGTAATTACTGAAATAAATTTCACAATTTGTAATGCTTGCTTCTCCATATTTTTCAATTATATTAGATTTTTAGATTATTAAAATAACCACTAGAGGGATTTCTGTATTTGATTCAGCCTCAGTCAAACTCACTTCTTCAAAAGAAAACAAACTCGTTCATACTCACTTCACAAAAGAAATGTGTTATAAGATAAATATGGCGTCTGTAACTTCTACTATATATACAACTATATCTGAGACTGCTGACTGCATGGTTGTCATTCGGAATATCTGTCATTAATACTTTCTAAGAAACAACAACTTATGTGGAACAAGTATGCAGATCTGAGGTTCTAGCTTCACTGGTTACTTATTCCAGGTCAATCACAAAGCAGGTTCAGAGCCTAAGTATGCAGTGAGCAAATATAGCTGCCCCTATGTACATACAGTGTATAACCATACATACAAAATAACACACACTGATATTTTTATTTATTTTACAATCATCTCTCTTTATGCATGCATCTAAATAAAATAATTAAAAAGATTATATACTCCCTCAAAACGCTAATTCTTAAGTGCATCGCGCCATAGCAACTATTATGAATAATGCATTATGGTTGCTTGGTGTGGGTTACAGTATGTAGGAATCTTATGCCTAAGAATAGCAACTCTTTACTAAACAAGGATGAAAGTATCTTAACCACTTGCCTACCAGGCACTTTTACCCCCTTCTGATGGGCACTATAGGCGGCACTGATGGTGACAGGCGGTGCTGACTGATGGCACTGACTAATGGCACTGCTGGGCAGCACTGGTGGGCGGGACTGCTGGGCACTGATGGACACAACTGCCGGGCAGCACTGATGGGGGGCACTGCTGGGCACAGATGGGCACTGGTGGGCAGCACTGCAGGGCACTGATCATTAGGGCACTGATCATCAGTGCCTTGATGATCTGTGACAGCTGCCGGTTATCTGCAGCACTTTCCTCATGCTGTGAGGAAAATGCTGCCGTAACTGGCAACTGTATTTACTCGGTGAACTGCTGTGTCATTGAACACAGCTGATCACGTGGTAAAAGGCTGCTGTGATTGGGCTTTTATCGCACCATGTGATCAGCTGTGTCCGTAGGACACAGTAATCACAGAGATCGCTGGGTGCACGCCACTGGGAGCGTGTGGGAGGGCACTGCTCTGGGAAGACATTATATGACGCCCTCACAGAACTGGACAACCGCACTGTAGCTGTCATTCAGCTATAGGGCGGTAAGGATGTGGTTAAAGTGTATGTAGACCTTAAACACTTCAAGTCAGGACACTTTCACCCCCTTCCAGTCCAGGCCAATTTTCAGCTTTCAGCACTATCACACTTTAAGTAACATGCAAAGCTGTACCTATATGAATTTTTTATCCTTTTTTTAGACAGATTGAGCTTTCTTTTGGTAGTAATTGACCACCGTTTGTTTTTTTTGGGGTTTTTTTGCTATATGCATGAAAAAAATACAGGAAATTTAAAAATGAACATTTTTCGCTGAGTTTTTGTTTCAAATTTTGCAAATAAATAATTTGTCTTCATAAATTTAGGACAAAATGTATTCTGATACATTTCTGGGGTAAAAATAACCCAAAACGGTGTATATTCTTTTTGTCTGCATGAAAGCTATAGAGTCAGTATGGCAGTATGGGCAGTATAGGCTAAATGGCTTCTGATTGGTCAGCACAGTCTCCGTAGACCTCTACTTGCAGGGATGACACATGGAGAGGACACTGCAGGCTTGTGTTCCAGCTCCCCACCCCCTCCTTCATGGGGTTCCCCCCCCCCCCATCCCATAACAAGCCCTTCTGGTCTGGTATGGATTTTGAGGGGAATCCCCACGCTAAAATTTTTTAGAAAATGGCGTGGGGATCCCCAAAAATCCATACCTGACAGGTCATGAAAGGCTTACCTGTAGGTATTGTGCACGTTTAGGAAATATTTACTGTAAAAACGCCGGTGATGTCACCGGCGCATACTCAATGAACAGTGTGTCGTCCATTGAGAGAGCCGTACCATGGCCAAAACCCCCTTCACGCATGCGTGGGAGTGACGACATCGTGGCTCGGCCAATTAGATGGCCGCAGCTCAGGAACCCAGAAAGAAGATCAGATGAAGATGGAAGCCTTGGGGAGCTGTGAGAGCACTCCACTGGAGGGCATTGTTTTCAGGTACGTCATTCATAATGTGCTAGTATGCGGTGCATACTAGTACATTATGCTCTTAACTTGCAAAGAGAATATTTTTTTTGATTTTTTTTCACAATATACTACCACTTTAATGGCTTCATGTCAAGGAGTTCAAGTGCTACAGAGACATCCCTGTCCACAGGAAGTAGTGTTAGCCTTGGAAGGGTCTTACATCTGCATGTGACTGTGACCTACTGTCGTTACCAGTAGCCATTGACCCAAACAAATCTGAAGATCAGGAAATTCTGTTAAAAACCAAACTTAATTTTCATATTTTTTTCAAGGTCAGTAAGGTAAGAATATGGTGGCCTCTGTATTACCCTCAAAACAAGTTTACATTAAACATTTTAAAGCCAATGCCAAATGCTAAAGGGTAGTGGAAAAAACTAAAGAAATGGGGAGTACTGGGACGGGGAGCTCACGGGACATGGGAAAGAAGTGCAAAAATCAGGGTGGCTGTTTGATGCACCAGCATTTGCTTTGTTTTCTTCCATAAAGCTGTGGTAGGGTTTGGGTAGGCATTTTATCTTGGAGCATTGCACCAGCTCTGGGAAGGAGAGACTGTGCTGAGAAACTGGCAGTAATACAAGGCACAGCTGGAATCTGTAACAAGAAAAGGTAAAAAATGTAAATAGGTAGTTAACTTAATTCACAAATCACATCCTGCCATGTACTGTATAAAATGGCAGCAAAAACCTGGAGATTTAAATGTTTTTTAAGCATGCAATTGACTCCTTAGAGTTGCAGAAGCTCCTTTTATATATATTTTATTATTTATTTAAAACACAAAATGAAGTAAACTAAACTACCCTAAATGTGTTTAAAATTTCACAGAAATCAGTCTGTTTATCTCTACTACTTAAAAAACAACCATTAAATGTACAGGCACTATATTTTTACTTCAAGCTAAACTGTGCTTTTCCCATTTATTTGCCATTTGCTTTAATCTTCCCAATCCTCAGCCATATATGCTTACCACTCCTCTAATCCTCCCCAGTTCCTTTAAGTACCACTAACTGCTGAATAAAATACCTGGTAATTCCATGCATGGTGGAGCATGTCTGCATGTGACTGGGCCATATGACAGAGCTGGACCTGTCAATGCTGTCATAGAGATGTCCATAGCCCATGTAAACTATGACTTCAGCTTACACTTGGTTTTGCTTTCATTGAGCTGATAAATGATTTTTGTCTGAAATCCAGTTAGCGCATTATTACTATTTTTGTCTTGCAGTTAAATCAAGGGGCAAAGCTGTGTAAAAGAAATAAAATTGGATGTTATCCTATACACATGACTGCATTTGCTGGCTCCTTAAAATGCATGGACCTGGTACTAAAAAAAGGTATTTTGGAGCATTCAGTCATCAGCTCTGTGAAGCTGTTAAACTGTGGAAAATAGTTTTTATTTGCATATTCCTTTTTCCTGTGCAGGTGAAGAATTTGGGTTTAGTATTGAAGATCACATCAATTTCACAGACAATGAGAAAAGCAGCCCGCTCCATGTGGCAGTTCAAAATGGACGCTTGGAAATTGTGAAAGCCTGCATTGAATATGGAGCAAAGATTGACCTCAAACAAGTAGTTGCTATTTTACCACCACATCACTCATGAACATCGAAATATAACTGTAACAAAGTATATGTGTATTTTAAAGTGAATAGGTCTAAAATAGGGAATATGCAGTAAATATTTATAAAGACAAATGGGCTATTTATTCACTGGACACTGCAATATTGCTCCACACAGCATCCGCATGTTATGTTGTATCTATAAAATGCAGGCCATGGTGTGGAGTCTGCATTGTCTCACAGAGTTCTCTCTGCTTAACTCTACTTTGACAGGTCATTTGACCTTGCAGCTAGTGTACATTTCTAAAATGCACCATTTTAGTTTATGAACATGCCATACTATTGCTTTTTAAAGGGTATCCAGTGTTATCTCAGTATTACAACCTCCTCCTTCTGGGAGACTCTGGACCACTTTGGTGTGGCGTGGTGCAAACTAGCTACCATTACTTCTTCAGAAAACCAGATGGATACAAAAGCTTGCTGAATCACAGAGAGGTTAAAGGATAAGTTCACCTTTTGAAAAATAAACAATAAATGCAGGCAGGTAAAAAAAATGTGTATTTATTATTTTTTGTTGCAGGGGTCTCCAAACTTTTCAAACAAAGAGCCGGTTTACTGTCCTTCAAACTTTAGGAGGGCAGGATTGTGGCCAGTGGCCAGAGAATGTCCCAGGCCCAGCATCAGTGAAAATATACATGGGGTACTATTTCTCCCATTAATGCCTATCATTGGTATTAATGGGAGGAATAATACCCCATCATTGGTATCAGTGTAAGAAAAAGTGCCCCATTGTTGGTGTAAGTGGGAGGAATAGTACCTCATATCATTGGGAGGAATAGTGCCCCAAGGGCCGGATATAGGTTAGCAAAGGGCAACATCTGGCCCTTGGCCCAGTTTGGAGACCCCTGTTACACAGCATTGCACCAATGATCAGCAGATCACTGATACCATGCAGGTCTCCTGCAGACCTGTCAGTATATATGCTTGCCCGTACATCCCTTATGGGCAATCAGAGACACTGACAGGAAGACTCAATGCGCCAAGACTACAAGCGTCTGGGTGGGCAGCTGCAGGGGCTGGCAGTGGTAGTGGCAGATGTTTTGTGTTGCCTAGGGCAGCACAAAACATAAATACACTATTGCTTGCCACCCCAAATATGAACACTGGCTGCTGCAACATTCACCTACTACTCTTCTACTATTATCCCTTCCTCCTTCTTATTGTAATGGAATATTTTGTATTTAAAGCTGTAATAAACCCCAAACCAAAAATGTAATATATTGCCACTTACCAAGCAATAGGCATGGTGGCTGCATTTGTTTTCTTTTTGATCTGGCCAGTAAAATACCTCCTGTATTAGAGTGCCTACCCTCAGGGTGAAGGCGCACAGGGGGACCTTTAGACAGCAGCATTGTCAGTCTGGGCAAAGGGAGTGTTAGATGTACTAACAGATTTGGATACACAATTTTTGCTTATGCTCTCAACCAAATGGTTAAACCATCAAATGGGTGGGGTCATAACTGATCACATGTGCAGCACCATGGCAGTTGCAGATCAAATAGAGCAGTGGTTCTTAGCCTGGGTTCGATCAACCCCAGGGGTTTGGTGAGTCAGTCTCGCGGGTTCGGCGGAGGTGAAGACCCACACCCGACTCATATGATTCGTGCAGTAAATATTCATTATTATGTTTTTGTTTTTGTGTGAAAATCATGTTTTAATGGTTTTGTTCTTTGTTCTTAACGGTTTTGTTCATTTTGCGCACCTATGTATAAATATATACCTAAATATATACCTATGTTTTGAATTTTAAAAATCATATTTTATTTTTCCAATTAAGAAGGGTTCGGTGAATGCGCATATGAAACTGGTGGGGTTCAGTACCTCCAACAAGGTTAAGAACCACTGAAATAGAGACTAAGATGGTAGCTTCCTTGGCTGAAAAGGATAGGAGGGTTTAGTTAACTTTAAAAGCTAAATATTTTCAATTTTACAATAGAACAGTCCCCTGTTTTGCATATAACTATTCTATTTCCCTTACTTTCTGTTGCAGAATGATAATGCCACAGCTCTTCATTTTGCTTCTACTCAAGGTGCAACTGAAATTGTCAGGTTCATGCTTTCATCCTACACTGGTGATAAGAATGTTGTTGACTTGCCAGATGGAAATAATGAAAAACCACTACATAAGTAAGGATTCTACTACTGTTATCTATAGAAATATGCCTTTTATTTTTTTCAGCCACTTCTTTTTGACCCAAGTTTACTTATTACCAAAAAAAAATTAAATATAATTGTTTAAGTTTGCAGTTATTATTTGGGATTATTTTCAAAAATACTAATGCCGTTTGGATAGTCCTGGTATTCATCACTTAATAAACAGAGCTTGTAAACCAACAGTAGAACAGCAGTGGTTGATCACAATATGATTAAGAGACCTATATTAGATTTTTGTAAAATTAATATGCAGTTGATGAGAGATCACCCAAAACTAAATTTTTGATGCTGAGTACTACATATATGTCAGATATTTACAGCTTGGTATCAGTAGTGGCCGTTTATTCCACTGTTAAATAGGCCAAACATGCTCTTCTGTCACAATTTGGGGTCTGTTCATCTAAAACTAATATTTTTTTGGTAGGTTCTGGTGCACTGTAGCCTTAGGGTTTTAAATATCTTAGAAGCTCTGGTGAGGCGATCTCTGTTCTCAAAAGAAACCCAACCTGGCAGGGATAATTTAGTGTCTTCAAGTACCTGTATTCAATTTCAGATTGAATCTGGTGTCCTTGTGGAGCTCTTAAACTGTAGGCCCAAGTGCACATGGCTTTGACCTTTCCTCAAATTCAGATTAAGTACTGCCCATTGCAGAATTGCAGCATTAGGCCCTGCATCTTTTCATATAATGTCAAATGCCAAATTCTTTGCTGCTTACTCGAACTCTGCCATTTGATAGTTGACATACATGGAGCTAAATACCAGTAGGGGCAGGGCTTTTTCCTAACTTAAAAGTCAAGTCCCTGGCATATAGTTTGGCTTTACATGGGCACAGTGGTCCGTTTACAGATCAAAACTGGTTCTTGTGGGCAACACAAGATGTCTGCACTTTAACACTTACATTTGTCCCTTTTTATGAGGTGTCAGGTTTGGCTACCCTGATCTAAAGTACAAATAATATGAATCAGGTAGAATAAAATAAAGCAGAAAACCCGAAGGGTGGAATAGGACACTAAAAACTCCAAGGCAGACAGGCAGAAGAGCCATGAATTATTGCACCCTCACAGGTAGAACTCCCAAGAAATATCCAATGTGTTGCCACGAAACTCCACCTATATTTTTAAGGTATTTTTTGTGGTCTAACACTAATACTATCCACAGTCTACACCACAGAATATACATTGTTTTACATATAAAACCACATTTAAAGTCATGCACACACTCTGTGTGTTAGTATTCCTGAAAATGGAGATACGATTACTGGATAGAAAGTTGGCTGCATGAAAGGCAAAGCATTCTTCACAATCCCTTCTTTCTGATTTCTATTAGGAATTATTTTAAGTTCTTAGAAAATCTGTAAAGATTTTAAATATTTGCATTACTGGCATACAGTATATTGATCAGTATATTATTATAAATGTCACAGCTGTTAATAATAAACAGTATAATGGAATAAAAAATAATATAGAGAGAATTTTTTTGAATAAAAATAAACTGCATTTAGCAATTTAATTTTGGTTACACAAATTAATATAACCAAGTAGCAATTAATTCTCATTGTGAAGTGTTTGTGACAGTGTATCCTAGAACACTATGAAAACATTAAAAATCCTTAAATATTTTATAACGTATCAGTAGCCTTAATGTACCAATTTAACAATACACTAATAAAAAGCACAATATAAATTATAGAAGGTAATAAAGTTTATGGTTGAATGTCTCATAAACTGTATCTGCTGACTGTCCATCTGTTACTTTTTTAGTAATTTATGATGATTGTGTGTGGAAATATCAGCTCACAGTATCTAATAGCTCTTGGAATTCATAAAACAAAGCGTTCTTAGACTTTGGATTTTTAGACCATTTGAATTGTGTAAATTGTCCTCTGAGTTTATTAGTTGGAAGATTAAAAAATTAACCATGAATACCAGACAGATAAAAAAAACACAACTAAATGCAGTTGCCATTTCTGCAAAATTAAAGTGATTGTAAAGGTTGATTGGCTGTGATTGACAGCAGTGAGAGCCAATGGTTTCAGCTAACGAGGAGGAAGAGACCCGGGAGAGCCTCTGCTCTGGTGCACATCACCGAGAATGGGCTCAGGTAAGTATTAGGGGGGAATGAGAGGGGAGCTGCACATTGAAGTTTTTTTTTACCTTCATGCTATAGCCTGCAATGCTGATCTGTGTATTCTGCCGGCGGGGAAGTATCTCTGCTGTCAGAAAACAATAGCTCAGTAGGGAGGGTTCCTCCATCCACCTAGAGTGTGTGGATGGGGAAATTGAGTCAATTTTGTTTTCGCTCAACATGCAGGTTGAACAAAAATCTTCTCTCTCTTCTATGGGCTGACTTACACAGCAACACATTTCTAATTTCCATTTAAAACTTACTGTTGTGCATGTTTAATTACCTCCAAGTCCAACAAAGCATAATTATTTTATTTTGAAGTAAACTTAAACTTTAACATTTCAGCTTTGCCATTTTGCCAAACATTTTGGTATAATTTGTGTTGCATGTCCTTATCTCTTTTATTGAGTTTTCCTAATATTTACTTTGCTTTTGTTTTTCCAACAGATCGTGTTTGTTTGACCATGCTGAACTGGCTGAATATTTAATATCTATGGTAAATAATTCATGTGCCAATTAAATCAAAAACAGTTTTGGTGGCAACATTTCAAAAAGCCCAACTTCAGCAAAAACTTTTTTTTGTTTTGGATAGAGTTAGGTAAGGTAATGTTTCTGTTTTAGTCATTGTTTTTAAATATTGTTTGTATCTTCATTGAAGATTTTTTTGTTGGACCTAATGCACTCTGTGTTTCCATAGAAGAGATTCCTCCTATTTTTCTTTAAACATAGACATCAATAGAATCCTAATAGAGGTTCTAAACCTATCTACTCTAAAAAAAATATATTTTTTATTGCTGCCTTTTCCCCACTGGGGAACAGTTACCACCTTCCCTGTTCCAGTAGACACCTGCCACATAAACAGAAATTTAGAAAACAATCTCCTACCTAGGGCCACAGGCAGGAATTAACCGTTGACAGAGGTCCTAACTTTATCCATTTTATCTAAACGTTTTAAAAACAGTTTTGACTGCATTTGGGCTTTAAAATTAGATTTAAGAAAATGAATCACCACAGTATATAAGATCAATACAGTTTTGAGTTACTGAGCATGTTAGTGTATATTTCAATATTGCAGATCTGAGTAAAATGTAGTTGAGTCATTATTAGTTACATACATAAAGGATATGACAGCTATGCTACACTAGTTTCTGGTTTTCATTCTAAATATAAAGATACATTTACAGCAAGGAAGATGTCAGGGAGTGTAGATTTTTATGCCTTACTCAAAATGTGTAGAAGGCTTAAAGCAGAGCTAAATCCATCAATTTAACTGTTTCCCAAAACCATTACATTCAAGGCATGCTGTGAATATAACTATCACATTAGCATGTGCTCGCAACCAAACAGTCAAACCTTAATATAGTTGGTGAACCAGCAAACACAAATGCTGCTGCGCTCGGGGATGGACTCGATGCAGGCTGCAACCACATTAAGAATGTCCTGGAACATGCACACCTTGCTGCCCTCAACAGACCGGGGGAATCCAAATATACTGAATGAGGAAAGAACAAAGAGAGGGCGCACAGGCCTAGTGCATTAGCATAAAAAATGTTTAATAAGAAATAAAATAGGTGTTGTACTCACAAACGACAATAAAGTCAAGGCACATCATAAAAGAGCAGCTGGGTCAATACCGCGCTGAGTAACAGTCCGTAATGGGGAATGTAGACATCCAATAGGCGGACACGTTTTGAGGACTTGCCTGAGGAAGAGGCAAGTCTTCGAAACGCGTCAGCCTATTGGATGTCTACATTCCCCATTACGGACTGTTACTCAGCACGGTGTTGACCCAGCTGCTCTTTTATGATGTGCCTTGACTTTATTGTCGTTTGTGAGTACAACACCTATTTTTTATTTCTTATTAAACATTTTTTATGCTAATGCACTAGGCCTGTGCGCCCTCTCTTTAATAATAATATAATATAGTCGGTGTCATGGACGGACTGACAACTCATGGGGCCCCCGGGCAATAGGGGATCACGGGGCCCCTGTGTCCTTGCCCAAACTCAAAAAATCTTATGAAAAAGGTACCAGGGGCATCTCATGGGGCCCCCTACTGACCCCGGCCCTCGGACAGTGGCTGAGTTTCCAAATGGTCAGTCCGCCCCTGGTCGGTGTCATAGCTGGTCTCATATGCAGCACCATGGCAACATAGGAAACAGAGGAGAAAGGATAAGAGGGTTTAGTTCCACTTTAAGGCATAGGAAAACTGCTGAGTTTTGACTTGCAGAATTTGCCCTCTTATGTTGAGTAAGGAGGTTCTTTTTCTCTCTAAATGTACAGGTCTTTGCATTCTGCACAGACCAGCTGCCATTAACGCTGACAGAAGACATTAGTCTTCATCAAGCCTTTCAAGTGAGATAAAGTTTTGTACCAGGTACTTCTCAGTACACACTGAAGAATTTACCATCTGGTGACATCTTTCTTTGCTACTATCAGAGAGGTAGCAACCTTGGACCAGAATAGGGTACACTTACAGTATATCTCAACCATGGATCTTCTTCTTTGAAGGAAAAACAACT